CGTGCTCAAGAAAAATGGAGTGGACATCAGGATGTGTATTGACTATCAACTTGTGAAAAATTTCATCCAGCTGTCTAGCTACCCGCTACCTCTCATTGACGACTTGTTAGTCGGTTTCGAGAAGGCACTCTGGTTCATGAGCCTGGATATGGCCAGCGGTTTCTGGACAATCAGGATGACAGCGCCAAGTTGATTTCGGCCTTCGTATGTCCGTTTGGACATTTTCAGTGGATTAGGATGCCATTTGGTCTGAAAAACGCACCCCTGATTTACCAGCAACTGCCTGTGGGGATTTGTGCGTCTGCCACCAGAAGAGGAGGCAGAAGTAGACCAGGAAGTTTTGGATTACCTGAATCTGGACCCCCAGGATGATGGACCTCCAGGATGTGGTTCTCCAGGATGCACCGGTTGTGAAGACGACCAAGTCTCTCGGTCGTTGCCGACCCTGGCGGACCAAATGACAGTGTTCAAAAGAAACATCCCTGCTCCAACCCAGATGTCACCTGTCCTAGGGCGCAGCTCTTATATCGATGATATCGCACATGGCGCACCAACTTGGGACTGACTTGGACGCTTTGCTCTATAGACTACGGTATTGGAATATTTCAGTAAGTCTGCCGAAGAGCGAGTTCGGGAAATTATCCATTCCGTACCTGTCGCATGAAATTAGCGCTGTAGGGATCAGGGCAACGCCGAAGATCGCTAAGGGATTCCAGGATTTACCGTTCCCAACTACCCTGAAGAGAGTGCAATCTTTCTTGGGTAGCCTGAATTATTATCATAAATTCATCGAAGACTATCCTGTGGTTGCAGCCTCCCTGTATGAGCTCTCGGATGACCAAGTGCGTTCAGGGCGAGATCTATCCAGGGCAAAACGAAATCCTGAAACACAAGATCGTGTCGACCCCCGTATTAAAACATCCTGACAGGACCAAACCATTCGTCATCATACCCCATGCAAATCAATGGGCTGCTTGCGCGGTCCTGGGTCAAGAACATGACGGTTTGATCCAGCCAGTGCGTTTTACAGGGCGGGTTCTTCACGATGCGGAATTGAGGTATCATATCGCAGAAAAGGAGGTCATTGCCGTGCTGAGGGTACTACAGGTGTTCAGAACGCTCATTCAGGGCTGTCCACTCACCGTGTATCTGTTCTGAAGTGGATCATGAAATCCAAGACGGCAGACGGGAGATGTGT